GTTTAAGAATGACATTGTATAAGTGAAGTACATACATATATAATATAATCTTTGACTGCCTCGTTGGCCGAGTGCTCGCAAGTGTGACTGCCGGGCAAGAGATCTCGGGTTCCATTCCCAGGTCGGGCAAAGTATTACTGGGTTTTTAAAAATCGCAGTAGTAGCACGGAGTCTGGAAATGCTCGGTATATGGCAATAGGCTCACCCCCTATTATATGGGACTCATAACATAAATAGTGAAAAGTGGGTGTTACATTGTACAGTGGCATTAAGTGCACCTCTGCCTACCCGTTCGGGGATAATAAGGCGTGATGTTATGTTATGTAATATAATCTTTATATGTATTGTAAGTCGCCTAGGGCGACTTATTTACTATATCATTATGTATATCTAGTACACAGGTACTAGATATACATAATGATATAGATATATAAATATATATATGGTATATAAATATATGGCAAAGTAAAATACTATTAAGCTTGTTTGCGATCTAAACGAGCAGAAAAAAATATTGATTCTTTATTTAACAACCATCCTAGTATACAGAGAAACTGTTAAATTCATAATAATAGTAAGCAAGTAAAGCCAGCCGTAAGACCCGGCGCACGAGTTTATCATTTGCTAATTGTTCGTACAACACATTCGTACGCGCATCGGACAAGACCAGTCACGAATCGGGATGGGATAGTGTCGTAGTGAAAATAAGAGAATTCATTAAAGATAATAAAATTGATGAATTATTTAACATGTTACAAATAATCTACTCTAATAACCTGTTTCGTTCAAAAGTTAGACTTACAATCTATTGAAGTAATTTTTTAAATAATACAATATATTTTTTTATTTATACAATCATTTGTAATATTTATTTAAGTCAAAGTCAAATTATTCTTTGCAATTGGATCAATAACATACTATTGGAATCAAGCAAAAACATAACATATCTGTTAATTTAATATAGTAGTTTAATAATTAAATTCTACAACAGCTTTACAACCCAGCACATAAAAAATAGTTCAACCCCACCATAGTTTACAAAACCATTATACAAAAATAACGATTTATAATACCTATTTAACCTACAAGCACGTAGGTGTAGTTTTAACATTTTGTTTTGTTAAGCTCCAGGTATCTTTCAAATGGTCATTCATTACGTTTGTAGTAGATTTGAATGCAAGTAATTTAATGATTAATTGTCATTAGTGCAAAGTCGAACTGTGAAGGTCAAGTCAGTCACTTCTAAATTGTTACTTAAATGTGTAGAGTTGACAGATATGTATCACTCACACCTACATAAATTATGAATTTATTTGTTAGTTTTTATTTGAATATACAGTTACTCGATTCGTCCCGATTTATTTTTATTTATTATCCCGGATAAATTGATATGAGTGAATGTGTCCCATCACTAATTTGTACCGAAACTTGTACTTACAATGTTGCTCTTGCGCCGATCTCAGTGTTTGTATGCGCATGCGTCAATTAGCACACATCTGTCAAGTTATTAAATAAACAACGAACTTGAGTACATACTTACGTATTTAGTAAGAGTAAGCTTCCCCGGAGCTTTGCACGTTTGGTTTCTAAGTTATATACAGCAATTTACCTTTGCTTCGAGGAGCTTTCTGCCCGAAGGACCAAAAATGTTGGTCCCTAGTTCCACTGTACACTTATCTAACTAGCAATCTTCACTAGCCACTGTAACCTAGTGATGTATTTCAAACGTCGTTAAGTCGTAGAACTATACAACACCATAAAATACACCAATTTACATAGTGCAAATTATCACAAGCAGTCGCAAGTCAGCGGCCAAAACATGTTTATTTGCGATTAGTCGCGCTTTTAACCATCTGGTTTGTTGCCGTACGACTCAAATGTCTCCGTATTTAGTTAATTGCGTAAGTGCTCTGCGACCAATCGCTAAACAGAGCTGTTGTAATTGTTCGGAAACAAGAATTCGGAATATGGAATGTAAAGGCTTTTTTACTGGTGCATTGGCAACTCGTTGGTGAAATTCCTAAGAAACAGTACGACACCGATTGTTTGTAATATTTATTTAAGTCAAAGTCAAATTATTCATTGTAATTGGACCAATTATATACTATTGGAAATCAAGCAAAAAGATAAAATTGTCGGTAAATATAGTAGTTTACTAAAATTTCCGATGAGTTTAAAAAACTTCAATGAAATATTTACATTTGATACAACAAAACAATAGCCTCCTCTATTTTAGTATTAGTTAAACCAAAATTGACTCTCAAGTGGCTTACGAGCCATCTTTAAAAACTGTCTGTTATCTGTAGTAAATAAAAACGTTGCTAGAAAAAGTTTCAAGTGAACATCTTAAGATAGCACGCGTCATTTACATTCTGCCTCTGTCTGTAACCACGTCACAGTTTTTCTAACGCTTTCATCTTTTTTCTAAGTGAATTATTATCGTGATTCCGTTTTATAATTATGACTTGATGGAACTACGCCCAATCTAATTTGTAATGCCACTGAATCACACTAAAACGTTAATGACGACTAAGATTCTCAGCATTAGGGATCATTACAAATAAAAGTAGGATGGTATTAAAATGACTTCATTACCATCGCTTCCTAATTAAAGCACGAATATACCAAGAAAAAAACAGTGTGGTACATGTACCTAATCGATGTTGGTCCTTTTATACGAGCTTGTAAAGTCAACAACTATACCTTTTGAAAATCCATCTTTCATCATTGACTATTGCCTCCTGACGTGACAGTTGAATCGAATGGGTTTTCAATTACAGTTTACAATCGTAAAGGCGAACTCCAATGGCCAATAATGCCAATATAAATAAATGAGCTACACGCTTCAAACTCAAGTGCAGAGGCAATAAATTGTTTGATCATTATTTCGTAAGCAGATACAACGTCCATTGCATGGCAATACACTTAACGGTAATTGTTTAACCGGATAACAATGTGTCTATTAAAATGATTTTGAAATATCATGCCACATTCTTGTTACTTATGTCCTAAGGCAGATTTTCTTTAATGTTTGAAATAGACATTAATTTGTTGTTACTCATCCAATAGAGTGACACGGTTATTTAGTTTTTCTCCAAATTCTTTTGGCAACGAGATCAAACAGTCTTCTTACGTTTTTATTATGATGTCTGGGCATGAATATTTTGCACAAAAAGGTATAATTATTGTCAGAATTTTTGGAATGATACGAAAATTTATTAAGTTTTTCACCAAATACTTAAGTAGGGCGATGATCGCGACATGTTTTTTCTATAAAATCATTGAACTTTATGGGTAAAAAATTGAACGGTATAGTGGTATAAATACAATTTAATCTAGTAAAAAGTGATCAGTGTGAAGCTGAATTCTATGGATCGAGACATCCCAATTCCCAACAGTTGACAGGGTACCGTTTGATTACCATTCAAACGCTGTTGAATCTTATTGAACTTCTTTAGGTGCTAAAATAATAATGGTGTAATAGTGTGGAAACAGATATTTTCTGGAATCAGGGCTTGATTTTTTTGAGCAATTTCCACCACCAAATCATCAGTAATTAATTAATTATTTATACCTATTAATTAAACGTAACAAATCGTACAGCCAATAAATATAGCTTACAAACCTTAGACTTCAAACTATAGGAGTTTTTTAGTGAGCAAGTCTCCATAAACCTCCTTGTATGTAGAATGGTTTCCTACAGAAGCTGTGAGATGGTAGTGATTGAGCTCAGCTTCCTGCGCACCTGGCCCGTCGCACGTGCGGTGCGCGCGCGCATGCCAAGCTACGTGTTTTTTGTGCTACCTTAAGCGGTAGTCTTTATCATGTGAGTAGGGTTGAGCTTTCAATTTTTGTTACTATATGTGAAATGAGTCTCCATGAAACATAACAAGTCAAATCGAGTTTGAAATTTCATGATTTGGTTCTTATTCTCTTTGGCATGACTTTGTGGAAAAAAATTGTGGAAGTTTGTATGAATTTTCCTCAACTTTTCTAAAGTAAGCTGACACTAAGTTTTGACTAGATTCAGCTGTACTTACATTATAAAAATTATAAAAAGTTTGAAAATATTGATTTATTCGAAAAATACTGTTATAATCCAACCTACACATCCTAGTTGCTCTGCCAACCCTTGCTTTAAGGACAAACTTTTTGCTCTCAAAGCTCCTGTGGTTTTTAAAGGGCTGTCAGCATATGGTGTGTAATAATGGTGTCTGATACGCATGCGCAGGTGAGCCAGACACAGCTGAGGATAATGAGGGCTTTGTTTACCAGTAATTATAGTTCTGTTTGTGTTTTTAAAGTAAAGATGGCGGACAGATGACTACTGTATGATGATATGTTTGGCGAAGTGACATCCTGGATGGTGGAGTGACAATGTATTTGTTCATGACGATGTTTGTTGTCTATAATTTATATGCAGGTTGACTTTTAATGACTTTGTCGCTTTTGAGGAGGGGTAGAAAGAAAATAAATGTTAGATGATATACGTCTAAAATATGAGATCACTGTAACGTAACTGAATTATTTCAACTGTTTGTGTTATTGTACAACCACATAGAAGCTTACTATAAGTCACAATAGCTTAATTACTTATGAATAGCATTCCTTTTTTTTTAACTTGTCAAAACTTCACCTTCCCTTCGTTCAATTGATGCAATACACTCATACTGTTATTGATTGGAAGCTACCCCTCACTGTAAAATCTTAAAACACCTCTTAATATTTAAGGGTTCTCGTATCTATTTAAGCTCCTTACATAAGTCGGCTCTTAGTAACTCCCATATGTTTCTCTTATTACGGGAGCACTTATCATCAAACGAGCTGGTTTACGACATTTAGGAGAACGCATCTCCCGCCGGTGGGCCAACACCTCAGTGTTGTTCCAGTTGTCAGCCGTATGTGACTGATGAGCTATAAAACTTAAATAGAAATAAAGGAGAACGGCAGATTTTGTACCGCTTCGCTAAAAAAAGATTTGTCATTAAAAAATTGGGTCATTATAGAACCTCCTAAGTACGTTATGTTAGCATATTTAATAGATTTTTAAAACTTGGGAAACCCTAGAAAAACTGCTATTCAATAATGATAAAAAGCAATCCATTATACGTAAAACGAACCGCGATTGACGTTTACAAAGTTGCCATGCGTAAAGATGAAATCAGAGCATATTGAATTTCGCTATTTCATAAACTCATTTATTTTAATATCTATCAATGAAATATTTTCCTTTCCATTTCAAACATTTTTATAAGTAAATATAAAAATCTACATCCAATCTAAATCTACGTTTACATGGATTATTAATGATAATTAACATTTTAACAAACTTGAATATTATGGCAATGTTGAACTGGCATTTGTCTTGATGACATTGACAATTAATTTGTCAATACTGGCGCATTGCTGTTTGTTTCAAATGCGATGTTATGATGTGTTTGTTGAATTTGAAGTTATTTTATTCATCTGGTGATACGCTGAGTTTGGCAACCGTTCCTCCGTAGCCCAAATTGGTATTATTGGCATCATTGTTGTGACAATTGCGAAAAGACACTTATTTACATTATTTTGTGCAGTGTGTTGTTATTTGTCGCGATGATGAATTTACAGTGTATTAATTGCATTCAGAGTTTGTCGCACATGAGACGGCATGCTCTAGAAAATGAGAGTGAAGATTAGACGTGGTCAACAATATCCCAATGTGGACTTATCCTAGAGATGTAAGTACCTAGTTTACCCATAACATATCGAAAGTCACCATGTTCCTGAATAAAAGAAGGCGCATAGTGTTATCTACCCATAATGTATCATTTTATTCTTTTTATTCTAGATCTCTCCTACCGACCATATTTGCAATGCTTGCTGGCAATTAGCAATGTATCGGGATGTTGCTGAAAGTATGTCCAGCAAACAAATTGGTCACTGGCATGTTTGTGTCGTATATGGGTGATTCATTGCAATGATAAGGTGACGCAGGGTTTTAATTGAAGGCGCCAACAAACAGGAGTAAAGACTGGCTCATATAGTATTTGATTGGATTCAGCCACAAGAGGTAATAAAGCATAATTTAACCATACTATTATCTATATACAGTGTAATTAAAGTCAATATCATATTCTAATAATATTACTTATTTTAGCTTACTTCCCATGATGAAGATCATGTTCCATACTGACTGAGAGACCGTACAAGAGTCGAAACTATAAAACCACAACCTGACATACCACCTCACAGTGTTCACTATCAGGAAGTAATGTATTATGTAAACATGGACTAAGCCTCACTTTAACATTGCCATTTGTAGAACAGATGAGGCCGGATGATGTTGTTCGGCTCTCAAAGCTTCAACAGGTATGCATTCTCAATATAATGTACCTACATAATTATGTATCTATGTGGAGTATATAAGCGGTTTCTAATAGGTTTATACTCATGTTATAATTATAATTTATTAATCTGTCAAACACCAAGCGGTCACCGGTGACCGCGACCTATTGTTCTTTAATTGTGTCTATAATGAGTTAATTAGCATGCTGTTTGAGCTCCTATGATCTGTGTTATACGAATAACTATAATAAATGTTATAAAATGAAGTAATGTAATCAAATATTTATTTTTATCTTTTCCATTTTAAGATAGGGAATCAGACTTATTATTATAACATATAAAACTAAAGGAAAAAAATGTACTTTTGTTTACTTTATTTACAGTTATCTTACTTGTTTACAGATATCAGCAATTGATGTCTGCTGTACCTATGACACGGCCTGTTCTCTTTTTAGATGAAGTACTCCTAGAAACAACCTGAATACAGTGAAATAAAAGTATTTCAAAATAATACATTTGTTTTATTTTAACCTAGTAAGTAACTATATATTCCATCTTGATAAAAGTGATTTTAAGAATCAATCTATAAAATAAATGCCATATTTAATTTAGATAGCTTTAGTTTTATACCAAAAATGTTCATTTTCATTTTACATTTTCTTTAGTTGTAATGTGGTGGCCCAGAGGTTTAAGAAGCCCGCTTCTCATGCATGAGAGTGCGGGTTCGAAACCTACCAACGGCAAAGTACCTTTTGTCCAATGTGTCTTTTTTCCGAGTTATTGGTATATTCAATAATCTAAGAAAGTACAAAGACACCGCTGACGAATAGTGAAGGAAAACATTGTGAGGAAACATGGGCTTATAATTTCTTATTATAAGTTTGAATTACCAACCCACATTGAGCTAGTATGGTGATTAATGCTCAAACCTCCATGCGAGAAGAGGCTTCGGTCAGCAGTGGCCACTTATAGACTTAATGATGAAAATGTTGATGATTCTACTAATTTGACTTACTTATTAGAAATTAATCCTTACATGCGTGCTAAGCAACCAGTTTTCAGAAGAAATACTTTCTCAAAGAGCTAAGCTAAGTTTAAATCGAATTAACTTGAGACCCTTGAGACTATCTACCTGCAAGATTCAAGGTGAAGTGAGACATTAGTTTTATCATATCCGCCACAAGACTTCCACTGCTAAATGTAGGCCTTCTACCCAATGACAGTCGCTTACATTATGAATTTGCATTTTCGTAGGCACCTAAGAAATGAAAAAGATTGTGAGGCATACTCTTTAAAACTCTATAGGTGCATCATGCTTGCTGAATTAACAGGATCATTCCTAATTGCCTTTTGCGCTGCGACGCACCATAGGTTATTTTTTGGGTTTAAATTCTTGTTGTGTGTCGTAGCAAAATAAATGGTTTTTCTTTCTTTCTTTCTAATAATACAAAGTGTAATAGTCACTTGAGTAGCGAGCAGTATTTTTAGATTTTTGTTTTTTGTAAATAAACAAACACATGAGAGCACATTGACATTTTTCAGTTAACTGTCATCTGTCATTTGTAATAGATATTTTGCTTACGGTGGCTCTACACTTGACGTTGCGTATTTGTTGTGTTCGGCCAAAAAAGAACATGTTTGGAGGATTTATTCTTCTTTGTTTGCTATATATTTGCACGCCATTACATATAGAGATACTATTTGGACGCCATTTGTACGTAGTCTACAAATATTTGGACAAATGAAGCGACTACGCAATGTCAAGTGTGGTACCACCTTAACATACCTTTTGCACATTTTCAAAGTGAAATAACTTTTGAACCCCAAGTTCTAAAAATATGTAATTTTTTTCTAAACTTCATAATAAAAATATCTATCGTTCAGACTATTCACTTGGTTAAAACAATGACTAATACAAAATTTTATAGCGGTACAAAACTTCCATACAAACCTGCCATTCTCCTTTAAAGAGCAAGGGCAGAAGGACCAGTTTCAGGGAAACGAGATAAAAGAACAATTTGTGAAACAACATTTACGCTTGTTTTTCTTCGTATCTAAGTAATAGCAATAAAATTGCTGTTTTTGCCACTTATATTAGCAGCTCCATGTGATGTGATGAGATTTTGAGTACGAACCAAAAATTTTATAGGTCTACAAAGAATAAGTATTTATTTGTCTGACAAGACTTTTATAAGTAAAATCTGACCACACTCTGCATTAGCCCGTCGTGTGTCTAAACGTGTTTCATATACAAACATTCAAGCGGTTAAGTACAATGTGGTCCTTCTGTCCTAATTTTGAGTGAAGTATTAGAATAGGTCAGGTCTCAAGTGATCTCTTATTTCGTCAGACAGCTAAATATATTTTTATTCAATTGTTTTTATGATCCACTTGTCAAGAGTTTTGTAATACATGATTGTTTTATCCGTGGTCTGGAAACAGGGCAATGGTTTTCGCGCATTCGACTGGTTCATCACTTAAATGGTTTTGATGGTTAAACAAATTAGAACGTTGGTTTTTAGGTCACTGAGTATAAATTTGTTTGGCTGATAACAACAAATTATTTCGATTGTGAAAATTTTCATATTATGATTCTTTTAGAATACAAAGGTTAAAGTACAAAAATAAAAAGTTACAGAATATCTCCACTATATAATTGATTGACTCCTGCTTTAATTTAAAGTAGGCTTAATAGGATTAAAAAGATTACCACGGATTAAGATTTGAGTTTTCGAGAGTATGTCAAATCGCATTACATTTGGATCACGAGCATTTTCTTGATGCACTAATGGGCTTACCACTTAAAATGTGCAGTTTAAATACCCTCTATTATAGGGGAATAGAGTTGATATTTGTTAGGTTTAGTTGAATAGTAAAGATGTAGATAGAAAAAGTAGCGGAGGTCAAATGTCGAATGATGACACTTAAGATTGTACGCTGCAATAAAATGTCGCGTAGATAAAATGAGAAATATTTTTTGTTAAAGATTCTGTATAAGATGTCGGTCCTAGTCAAAGTCGTGTATCACGTATTTTTTGGCAAGTTTTTGCAGTACTTCTCAGAAATTTGTAACATAGTAACCTTCATTTTGAAAGATTATATAACCTTTGTGCGAAATTCGTACATTCTGAAAGAAATCCGTCATTTTACGTATAGTTACGATGGAATAAAGTGTTAAGTGATCACCTTATATCATTTCCACAAACAGACAAAAAGTAGAAATGGATGAAATACTTTCTCATAACGCACGCGAACTAATAACAACATAATTGTTGGTACGCAATAATTGCCGAGTTCCTGTCCGGTGCCATTTTCCGGTAATTTTTACCGTTTATTGTTATAATTGTAACGACCTCGGTAATTTTCCTGCGGTAGGCCGACGGTGTTGAACCATTTTTTTCTAAAATTGAACTGCTTCAATAAATGATCTTTATATGCTCAGTAATTTGCGAAACGGAGGATATTTCTGGTTCGTACTATGTATTTAGTATTGTAGCTAAAGAACCGACTTTAAAGATATCGATCTTTAGACGTAACTAACCTTAATTATGATGAAAGTAGATATTTGAAAAGTTACACAGAAGTTCTTTATAGTTTCTTTAGACACAATTTTGTTCCATTCCTAAGAATAACTGAACGTAAAACTCCCATAATTTTATAATCCAATAGACTTGAAAATCAAATGAGATTGCATCTACGTTGCGTGTTTTTCTTTCAATTACTAGAAGTGGGTTAACTATGGCATGCGTAGGCGGAACCTGTAAGATGGGCCATTAACTTGTCAATGCACTGTTATCATTATTTGAACTAAGAACTTCCATCCACGCTATATCAGATACTTTGAAAGGCAATCTTAAGTAATATTGGTGTAACAAGTTATTATTATTGCAACAAGATGTATCTAAGCAATGATTACAGTTACTTCAAGGATCTATAAATATTAAATTTTATCTTCTGGTAAGAAATGTGACTATGATTTTGATTATTCTGATATTTTAAATCCATTAAAAATGTTTCTGTACATTGCGATTTCAATATTATACATATTGCGATTTTAAACTGCTAATCCATTGCTTAGCGATTGTATGTACTTATACAGTGCTGCTCTGAAGACTAAAAGATGATTTAGATTAAACAAGTAAAACGATTTTAAAACAATTAATCATTGCACATATCTCCCAAACCACATCAATCACTCGCACTGGTAATCCTCAAATGGCAGTAATCTGTATAATTAGGTAAGAATCGGTCCGGCGACGGATACACGCGCTCGCCGTACCTTTCTATAACCGGGCCGGACAAAAACCGTCACGATCGGCCGTGCTTCCCATTTCCTAATTTCCTGCTGTAAACGTCACACCTCATTCAGCCCAATTTAGCGGCGTCCTGTGGCAAACGACACGAGATCGGCGTTATATGGAAGCTGGAGAACCGTTTTTGTTTGTGGTTTTGTCTATAAGATTAGGATTTGAGTGTTCTGGTGAGGTTTGTAATGATTTGTGATATTGTTGTTTAGTGTAATAAATGCTGATGATTACTGTTGTTATTAATGGGTTTGTACCGAAGGACCATTTTAGTGCGACCTAAAACTTGAGGGTCGAAGGACCAAATATTACATTGTATATAATAGTGTAATACTCATTTGGATTATTTTTATCAAATCTTTACATGTTGTCTACATAATTTCTCCGCTTCTTTCTTGGCCTCATCCGACTTCATAACGCGTGCCACTATGATGTTTTCAATGAAACTCAGTCGCCACTGCCGTCCGCCGTCCGGCTACTTTACGATCACACAGACAGAATAACGGACAGGAAAACATTTTGCCCACTTTTTTCCATTAGACTGTCAGAAATATTTAAACGCGCATAATTCGCTGACGAAATTGCTAAACGACATCCATGGGAAACCCTTTGATATTTTTATTGTAAGTAGTTTCATAAAAGTATTACCAAGAATTTTGTTTCACTAATATTTTATTTAGTTTAGTAAGTCGGCGGGGTTTTATTATGAGTTGGGGCGTATTTATCTATTTTATGCAATGTAAAATAGGAATTTCAGATCGCTTGCGTCAGTTGAGATTGAATTTATGAAAAGTATTAGAAAGACAATAATAATTTATTCAGTAGCAACTTAAAGAGACTTAACATTTTACCCCAAAAAGGGAACCAGTTCTTCATGAGCATTTACAGGGTAGGGTCTCCTTTTTCTATTAAACCTTTAATTGCATTTCTTTTACAAAATTTTTGAAAATGTAGAATGAACCCTCTGTCGATGATATTCGAGGTAGGGGACGGTCGGCGCGTGCGGCGCCCTTTTGCTCCCGTCCTGACTCGTGCGCATCGGACGGATGTTTGCTCACTTACCACTGTAGTCTCATCAATTTGTTCCGTAATATTTGTGAGTTTAACTCTTGGGGTGTGTTGGAAATAAGAGATACATAATTGATGCCAATGAACTTTGTTTTGGGTGGTCAGCAATTGGTGTACAGCCTCTCTTTCATCGTTAAACAGATACAAAAACACAAGCTTCCAGTGTTGGTGTGCCCAAATTAACCGCGAAGTTTTTGTACTGTAGCTTTTTTAATTCCAAATAGTTTAATCGCATTCCGATACATAAAAAGTAGCATTACATCATTTTTGTAATGATCTTGCGTACGATAACGTCCACCGAATTACTCTTAACGGTACTAAGTATGATCCTGTTGGCAACGCTTGTTGTTAGTCTAGTTCAAATTATTTATCGTGGCCCGAGGGTACAGTACTCGCTCAATTTTGTACCGTTATTGTATCGAAAATGTGGACCGAGGTGTACTCTTAGCTGGTGTACAATGATGTGGATTATTGTATTTAAGATGTTTTATGGTAGGATTACAGTTGGTTTTGGATTCCTGAATAATAGTATCGTAAACGAAGATCCTTTTGGTACTGGATACTCGATGGACATAAAATAGATAATTAATTATATCTAACTAGCTGACTCGGCTGATACTTTATACCACCTAAAAATTATCTTTCTAACCTATTAAACCTTTCCTGGACTTTCACGAACATTACAAGACCAAATCGGTTAAGCCGTTCTTGAGTTTTAGCGAGACTAACGAACAGCATTTCATTTTTATTTATATAGATATTTTTATCTTTCATACCTGCAGACAATATTATCTTCTATTGAAGTAGCTCCCTTATCTAATTTAGTTTTAAAGGTGCGTGTTCGTGGCTGGCATCTAATAGCTACCTTCAATAGTGCCGCACATTACAACACTGGATGTAATAAACGCCTACCAGTACTGCAGGTGTTAACCCGCGTCTTATAAGACCTGCGTGTGGGCAGAACAAACTGCTTCGTTAGCGACACAAGTTTGCTTTAAACAGACGTCGTTATGGCAGTTATCAAGGGTTTACTAAATATACTTTTTTTTCGATAACTACATACAAAAAAAATTCTAAATTGCGTACAGTTATCATACATCACTTGTGTCAATCATTATCTGTTACTATTAGGATACTCATCCATCAAAATGTCAATCTCAATAACAAACAGCGTAGCGCCATCTATCTTCACTGATACACACTACGTTAACAATGTTATACTACCGCGTATTACGCATGCGCGTGCGCAGCCACTGTGCGCGAGAGTCAACGCTGCGGACAATGTGGTCATATTATGAGCAATTTGAGGTAAAGGACCATTATCGGTCTTTTGGGGCTTATTCTTATATAATGGTTGCTCTTTGAGGATTGTTGCGAGAGTTATAGAAATAGGCGTTTAGATGTTGAAATAAGTATCTTGCCTCAAAATGTTTTTAGTAGTAGAAAACAACAAGATGCGCTTATAATGTTTAGGACGATACAGTGAACCACTTTCATAATATGACAATCAGAACAGTTAAAGTAAGAATCAAATCTTAACTAAAGCTCAGAGGGACTGAAAAAAAAAACAAACAAAGAAAAATAAAGCGGATGTTTTGACATTTTCTCGTGTTGACAACGGAACAGGAGATTGGAACGAACAAGTTGTGTTGCTCGTTAAAATTCAAGCATGCACTAACAAATGACCATAACCAATAGCCTTGTAACAAGGATGTCTAATCCGTGGTATAAAACTTTTTATCACCGCATTTTCTAACTTGTCGCGCACCAACTTAACTTGACACTTACAGCGCCGTTGCAAGTTTTGTTCACCTTTCAATTCGTAAAGACGTACTTAGTTTCGTGTAAGACCGCAGACATACTTAGCCTGGTCAGGTTTGGTTGCTAGTACCGCATTCCTGGGCCGTCCGGTGACAGTTTTTGCGTTTCCTTCGCCGAGTCACCAGTTCAAGTTCAGTGGCTGCCGACGAAAGATGACCACTTTTACCGGTGCTTTCTTCCCGCTCGGAATAATCTAGCTTTCAGTATATCAAGTTGTTAATTTAATATGACTTCTCAATGGCATTGTATGCTAATTTTGCGGATACTCGGAACCTAGGACGTGATATTAGAACAATAGCCGTCCGGATTTTTGTTTAGTGCCAGAACGATGGAGGTACGTTTATTTTATGAATAAAATTTTTGTAAGGAATTTTCCCTTAGAGCAGGTCAGTAACCCTTTATTACACCCTGAAAAAAAAAACAATTAAAGAAATATAATTCAACATCAAGTGATTCTTATAAAACGACCTTCGTGAGCTCATAAATTAAGTTTTAAACTCTCCCACGATAAATTTTCGGGTCCTTGAACCACCTGGCCACTTGCAAATTGTGTTCGAACATTCACACGGTGGTGTTTCGAAGTTGTGGGTAGAATCGATCGGGAGTAGGTTCGGTTTCCGTGATAGGACAGGTGTCGACTTATCCTTTGTGTGGGGGCTGGGAGCTTCCGGCGCCAATTCAGGTCTTGTTGCAAGTGCTATGTTTTAAAATGTTTTAATCATGTTTAATGAAAATGTTGCTTGATTAACAATTACATGTTTGTAAGAAGTTTGATTACGATTTGGACACAAGATAATTCTTGGATTATAGAAGATCCTATTGAAAGAAATTAAATTAAATTAGAACGAAAATAAATAAAATCCATTTTTGTTTAAATCATAAAAAAGTATTCATCTAAATCACAAAAACCCAAAACAGTTTTTTAAAATTCTCACAGAACCTACATCCCATCAACGAACATCCTGAATCATTATAAATCTCAACATTTCTTGTCCCTATCGACAAAATGAGGAAGTAAGCGACAGATGCTTGCAATCCAATACAACCCCCTGTAGTGCTCGAAAGCTTCACCCAAGCAGCCACGCAAGGCTGATCAAGGCTCAGTATCGCCCGCGCGTCGACTCGTACGCACGTGTCATGGCCGCGTTCGCGCCCGTCCCGGCCCCGCGCATGCGTCTCGCGCTGCACCCCCATAATATTCATGTGAGTCATCTCCAACAAATCCACCATTATTTTAATATTGCGATGTGACTTTAGTTCATTATATTTTTGTGTTATTTGTTCTTGTTGTGTGCTGTGAACAACTCGCGTGGGAACTGGATATTCTGCAATCTTTGCATTCTGTTACACAGTATAATAACATTATTGGTCGTTGGTTACTGTACTTGACTATCTTGTTTGTGGACCCGCGATTTGTTTAGCGGTTCTTTTTGTATTCTAAAATAATTGTTTGTAGGGAATGGCTGTATACCAGCTTAAGATCCCGAGTTATGTACTATTAGACTTATCAGTCATCTTTTCAAGCAAAATTTTTTTGTATTCTGATTCATAAATCGTGAGGCCTTTCACCGGTGACGCCTGAACTGATTCAGACCCTGAGGTCTTACCACGCTAGGAACACCCTAGCGTTTGTTTATTATCTGGCTAAGCGGACACATATTGGATGTCGACGTCAAATTCACGAGATTGTTGTATTTCTTTACATATTTCTAATGTAGAGTACTTAATCATTCAAAACAACTTATTGTTTTCGCAAAACTTGTTACCTACTCCTCGAATTATGCATGAGTACCGACTTAATTGTGTATTGTGGTTCGTTACCTGAAACTCATAAACCTTGAGGAAAATAATTCAACTGAATTGAGATTTTTTTACGTATTTTGCTTCGAATTACTTTGACGCAATTTAGCAATTAGGTATATTATTTGGCTAAAACTCCTCGTGAACTCTTATAATCATTAGTTTAGCTATGTACACAATTTATCTGTTTGCTAAAATATTTTTACATGTAGGTATAATCTCCTGTTTGCACTCAGATTACAAGGCTGTAGCTCCAAACGATTACTCCCTAAAAACGGAAGTTTGATACGTTGGCGCTTATCAATAACAGTTGAAATTACATGTACTTATGACCTATAATTTGAATTTTATCAATGCTAACTTTTTGCTGAAATGATAATTTTCTAAATGCTGTGTTTATGTATGAGAACGAATGGGAATATTCTGGGTTTTTACTCCCATATTCAAGAAACTCTAAACCGTTGACAATTTTAATAATTACTACCCATAACCCTCTTATCGTGTGTAGTAGACTATTAATGAAGACCGGAAAGTCAGAACTACCCCATATTTTATAAATAAAATCAAGATGTAGTTACTATACCCACCCTGTCACCCAACCGTGGCAGTATTCACCTGTTCCCTACACAAGGGAGGCCATTCAACAGTGGAAATCATCCGGTGTCACAAATACTAAAGATCGTATCAATACTAATTTGGCATTGTTTGTAAATAAATCTAATGTAACTGACAAAGCACACCTCTTGTATTCATACTTTCAACTTTATTTTGGTCTTTTGTGCAGCTTTGCAAACCTTGGTCCTTTGTTCCGAAACTTGTTGTAGTGGCGTTTTTCATCATTAATTAACATTATTTTATGTTTTTGTCCACAGACGACAATAAAAGTGTACGCACGCTGCCTCAGGCCTGACATTGAGTACAAAACGCTATCGGTGACGTGGGGCACTCGGGCGCAGGAAGTGGTCTCCACACTCCTGGGCAAGTTCCGCATGAGGCACAGAGACCCGAGGCTGTTTTACCTCAGCATGGAGGTCAGAGTGAGGGCCGCGGGGTTAAGGACTACGCTGGTGTTGGATGATGATGCAAGGCCCGCAGCGCTACAGGCGTGCCATCCTAAAGGATATTCGAAGTAAGTATTGTTTTAGATTGGATTATTATTTAATAAGTACGTTTGGAATCAAATAAGACACTTATTAAAAGAACTGATTTGAAATTATTTCAATTGGTCCGAAGTAAGATATACGCGTGATACAGTGCACCTATGGTATTTCAAGCTACATAAACAATACTCAAAACAAAATCAGCAAAACCCCTTCAGTCACGAGAAACTTTTATTTTTAACCAACCATCGGTCAACAGAAAACCCTTCAGTACACGCCGGGACCACCGGCCGGCGGACCGAAAAAGATCCACTTTTGTCCCTTCTTCCGGCACGAGCTATTCTCGTCCAGCAAAGATGGCGTCTATAAAAATTATAAAAACTTTTAAAAGAGTCCTCTTAGCTCTTTATTGACCATATGTATCGTGTTACTGTGTGTTGACAGTTAGAAGTAGATCGCTCGGATCAGTTTAGTTGTTATTCAGTGTTAAATGGGTCGTTACCCACGGGTAGAGCAATATATTTTAAATGTATTACTAGGTTTATGGGAGGTTTGATTACGCTTTATGGGCTTCGTAAGCCATTGTTATTGTAAGGTGTGTATTAGGAATTACGTACTTCTTATGTTAGTATTTTTTTTGAAATTTGTAAGTTTTAGATCTTATTTACCAATAGTAGCTCTAAATTTTCAAAGAATTACGTTCAACGTTTGGAGGCTGTAAATTTTCTATACGTATCTAGAAAAAATAGGAATAACAGCAAATATCAAATAAATTACCGTTATACTCAGCATTAGAATAGCCTTGGACGCTGAGAAAATCTTATATTATTAGGCAGAGAACAACGAGTCGTGAGAATGATCTATTCACTAAGCAAGCAAGGTTTTCTGGACAAATAGACAATACATATATCTGCTTGAATAGCTCGTAGTCAAGATTTTTGAGAAAATTTCAATTAAATAGGTACTGCTTATTTTAAGTCTACAGAAGGACTTAAAATCGTCGAATATCTGTTTACAGTGATATGTTGAATAGCCTACATAAAACCGTTACGGGTACCGAAGGACCAAATTATTTAAGGAATTTCCCACAATGTAATCTAACCGTTTACCTATTAATTTCCAGGTTCCAACTTCAGATGCGTCCTGGTGGTTTGATCAAGATCTACGACTCAGCGCTAATGTCTTCCTCGCAGTACAAGTGCCTGCTGACCAGCGAAAGGACCACGGCAGACGAGGTGTTGGCCATCTTGCTACATTGCTACGATTCCAATGAGGGTGTCGAGAGGTTCTCGCTCTATGAGGTTTGTATTTTTTTGTATTATACGATTGCAAATGTCGTAATTTCTGAACTTTTCATATATTGTGGGCTTTTTGCCGAAACATTTTTTTTATCTACGCGTTAATCATTAATATTGTAAATTAAGCATGCTTTATTTGAACTGTTATTTAATTTTAAAAATGTTATTTCAGGTCAGTCCCTCGCAGGAGTACGAGCGAAAGTTACACCCTGATGACCTTCCCCTGATGGTGCAACGCGCCTGGCCTGTGGACAGCGACTGCCACTTCAGGGTACGGAGGAACCCGAGAGCACCTCCCCTCCCGCCTCGCAGTCTGCCTCCTCCCGAAGAAACCCCCTCCGAAGACGAGGAACCTTCCAGAGCATTATCAGCTCTCTCCCTCGAAGCTGAAGGCGAGAAGAGAAGATATAGCCCCGTCTACAAGTTCCCCAGCATCAGCTACTGTAGGGAAACCAAGAATGACTATTTGTACATCTGACTAGCCGTGTACTTAGCCAGGTTTAGACGATTAAAGTGCCGCGCCAAAGGCCGCAAGCACCTGGATGGGATAGTGAGAAAGCGACTCTTGTGAAGTGTAAATAACGTACAGTTTTGTGTAAAGTGTAAATATGGATTATGGATTGCTGAGGTGTTTGGTGTAAGCTTTGGGCCCTCTCTGATGGAACTGAGTGAATTGTTGTGGAAGGCATAATGACCAAGGTCCTTTAGGACCACGGCTTTGTGTCATTAGTTGGAAAATGGAAATTTGGAAGGATTTTTGGTATAAGAATCTCCGAAGAATAGTTTCAGTCAGCTAGGGTTCTCAGTGAGTGTGAAACCAAAGAGTTGTTGCAATAATGTTTGTAATTAACCTAAAGAGGCAGTTATTAATAAGTCATAGAAAGATCCAGAATGTTGTCAGTATTCAAAGTTATCTGGAGTAATCCAGACTGGAGTAAATCGTAAATATGACTTCAAAATATATACAGGAACACTATAATATCAATTAAATACATTGCAAGAAGTCACAAGTGAATTGATAGTACCTAAGATGGTCATAGCTTTTGCCATTGTATAACTTTAAGGCGCAACTGAAAGTGAATGACAGAAAGAGCCTATATCTTGTATATTTGTGATGTAGAAAATGCTTCGATGCTGTTTTTATTAGCGACGAGAAACGAAGACAATGCTGTTTGTTGATGTGAAAACTGAAAAACTATATTTTGTATAAGGAATAGAGCTAAAATAAGATTTTGTACCTAAAGCAAATCTCTCTGGTGTAGGTACTTTCTATTGCAAGACGCATCAAACTATATTCTGGATAATTTTTATGGAATCTGGATTATTTCTTAATTTATATTTGTATAAAATTTCCGTAAAATGTTGCAACTATTAAAATGTAATTTCTATGAGAATGTATATAATTATTGTATTATTTAGCTAGTAGACACCAAAGAGGCACGCGAGCGATAATATTATGAAGAATTAGATTTATTTAACAACTGTTACGCGTTTTAATGTTTAATTTATTTAATATGGCCACCCTGACGGACGCCATTGACATGTTGAACATCATCGAATTTACTTCAAACACGTCTAATAAACTGCGATATGTTTTTGAAAACTGAAGTTTTATTTTATTCACTTTACTGTAAGAATTAAACGGCCACAACTTTATCATTCAGGAAAAAACAATATTTTGCTAGCATAAACAATCATTGCTAGAACGTACTAAGCTAAAAGTACTTCACTACTAAAAGTTCCGATAGTCAGTTTCAAACTAATTAAATTAATAATTTATTATAATGAATTTTTATTGGAAGTGGTTATTTGTTTCTTTGACTTTGAATATTCATACAGAAAATTGTAAAGGCAATCATACTATGCCTAATAATGTTTGAAATAAATCTTCTTATTTATACTTTCTACTTACGAAAATTTTCTTGTTCCTTCAAAAACAAAACTGTGCATTTTGTAGACAAGACAAAGAAACTTCGGTCATCGATATAAAGTATTTTATTTACAAATGATTGCAACAATGAAGTACAGACGATGCAATATAATTACAGAGTATGTTCAAAAAATGGGAAACGGATAATATCTAACGGTACTAAACTTAGCTCCCTCTTCAGTATGTAAAATTTATACAATCGCCGCGAGAAGCGGCGGCGCGGCGAGACGCGGCACGGCGACCTGCACCGTGCGGCGTGGCGCGCGGTACTGCGGCACGCTGTGACGCGACTGCTACCAAGTAGTACGATGTGGCTCAGTGTGGCACTATGTGGCACAGCGTGGCACGGCGCGGCAGTGCGGCGCGGCAGTCGCACGGCACAGGGCGCGATGCGGCGCGGTTACACAGCGTTAAGCGCGCGGCGGGACGGCCCGTAGTCGTCTGGTGGGTCACGGTCGCGGCGCCGCTCGTCGCGGGCGTACTCGCGCCCATACTCTTCCCTCGCGTAGGCGTCGCGTGCGTAGTCGCGCGTGTAGTCGTGGCCGTACGCATCGTGTGCGGCGGCCGCGTGCTGCGGCGGCGCGCGCTCGCGCGTGTACTCGGGGCCGTAGTCGTGGTACTCGCGCGGGTAGCTGCGCTCGTACCGCTCGCCGCCGCGCGGGTAGTAGTCCTCCTCCAGCCGCTCCGGCCGCGCCGCGCGGGACCTGCCGCCTGTAGACCGTAACACATGATGTTAGACGTACATAATATGTGATGGTTGATTATAAAAAAACTATAGAACGCCTTCAAAATCAACACGCACTCTTTTAACAAACTCAACAAAGAACACAAAAACTTAAAACTAATTTGAACGACCACGGCCCTGGAAGTCATTCAGCCCTTGCATTGATCAGGGTTTCGAGCTTGGGGCACACACATCACACTGGGCGAGGACTTATTAGGACCGACTTCCTGGGCGAGGAGGGGGGCACCCACACTTACTGCTAGGTTACTTGGCCGAGGGACATTTGCATGATGTTCCCGCCAGAATGTACTCGCACTTTACCCGGGACCGGGATGACGACCTGCGCGGCCGCGGGGAGGGGGGACGGCGACGCTGCGGAACAATTCACTTGAGATGCTGCAGACTACAAGCCTGATAAACCGTTCTGCGCCTTGGGAAAGTATCTTGCTTGATGAAAGTCGATCTGCTTCGTGCGTGACGGACGATCGAGACGACGTGTTACGGCGAATCGGGTTGCGATGAAAGGGAGAGAAGAAGGGTATGAGATGTGTGCAACTAGGGACACAACATAATGGTAGATCTTATCAAGTCGAATGCATCTTCATAAACACCGTAGTAAACACGTTCGCTTATTGTGGACAAAGTATGCACATTCGATTCTTGGTAAAGTGCGGCTACTCGAGACTAGTGTTTCAGATCTCAACAAAATAGGTAATTTTAATGCCCTACGGTTTCAAACTCATTAAAACGCATCACAGTTAGCGTCATTCTGAACCGCTGTTACGTGTTAGCTGGCAGAATCCAGCAGCTTCAATCAGCTGTTGGATTCTGAGGGGTTAATGAAGCATCACCCTGAAGCGACAAGCGGTTAGAAGGATGGGGGCCGCTAGAAATTGTATGCAACCTGGACGGGGGCCGGTGCGTCTGACAATAAACACCTGGAATTTAGTCTTCGGCTCGGATGTTAGTGGGCCTGCCCCGACGCTTGTACTGAAATGAATAGGACGGTCAGTTGAGGGGCTCCACTGCAGGGACGGGATCACATCTACTACAACATCTATGTCTCACGCAGTTTGCATACTACCACATCTTCATTTTGGGATAAATGCTTCTACGACCTTGAGATTAAAGTCCATTTTAGAAACGGTCGTATGCAAACAACGCCAATACTATGAGGTACAGTCAAGGACAATAAATGAAAAACACTCCCATTAGATTTTTGTAAAGCAAAGTCCATGAGTGTACCTTAGATATTAGTAGACATTGATAGACAGAATGACAAACATCTAATGATTATGAATACATCTATTTTCTAAACTAAAATATAAATTATGACGAATGTAGAGGTAAAAAATGTTTCAGGAGTGATATGTAGCTCTATGAATATGCTTAATGTCGTTTAAAAGTAAATGGAGGTTTTTTTGTTTTGTAACAGTACCTATAATTTAAAAACACTTGACGTACCTATATAGAAACTAGAGGTATAGGTCCTTAAAATAAATACAACCAATAAAATTAAAAATATAAAAGGAAAAGTTATTAGGTGATAAGTTACCTCTTTCCCTCTCGTAGGTATACGAGTCGGACCTCTCGCGGTGTCCTCCAGTGTTAGCAGGGGGTTCAAAATATCGCAGTACACGGTTACACAGGGGTCATATACATACAGTACCAAAAGTTAAGAGATTCATTTACTATTTATATTTGTGTAGAATTTTCAATTGTAGAGTAATCGGATAATTGGAACAGTGTGTTTGTTTCGGATACGTGTGTAAGTAGGACTATTTTAGATATTTCATTTTTATCAGAGATTTGGTAAAAATCAATAGAAACGCGTTGCTAACATTTATTTTGTGTTAGGTACAATCATCCAAGTAATTTTATATGCAGGTAAAAAATAAAAAAAGATTTAGTACAGACGGGATATCATCATCAATAGCCTATAAACACCCACTGCTGAGCAACGCGTCTTCTCACGAAGGTTTGAGCATTAATTACAATGCTTGCTCATTGCATGAGAAGTGGGCGTCTTAAACCTCCGGGCCACCGCGCACCACGCGCACCACGCATCGTGGTAGTCCAGAGGTCAAGACGCCTGCTTTTCATGGTTGAGAGTGCGGATTCAAACCTA